TCTTAAAATTTGATAAATATGAGCTGCTGAGAGGATCCAGTCTTTCAGAAGAAATGTGTTTACAACCATGTGTTTTTTTTCAGCCTTGGCATCCTGCCAGTAGATTTGTTTGTGACTTGGAGAACAAACAAACAAACAATAACCAAGGTTTTGAAACAAAGATGACTAAGTACCAGTGAGCAGTGAACACTACTGCTCACTCAAATATCACCTGAGCTAAAAGTACCTCTAAGTCTCTAGAGGTAATATACGTGGGTCACAGTGACAGTTAACAATTATGCATATAAAAGAGAGGGCAAAATCATGAATGTACCCAGTCCTGCAAATGACTTCGGCATGTTCTTCACTCCCACCACAGTGGATTAATGTGTTCCTGCCTTTCATTAGATGAGGACATTACACTTCATAAGAGGTCAGAAGTGCTGTCTCCTCCCTGTCCTTGATACATGACTTTCAGTTTGAAGTTCTTGTCCAGGTCAACAAAAGCAATGCACTTTGCCTGAAACTGTTCTTGATACAGACCACTATAAGCACCTCACAACTTGGCCAAGTAAATTGGCTTTGAACAGGCTCTGAACACAAGCAGAAGCAGATGATTGCCCAAAGCTGGAAAAAAAATCTTCTGGGGCCTGTTACTTACAGAAAATAATTTCTCCTTAAAAAGAATTCATGCTTTCATATACCAAGTACTTACAGGTTTTTGCACTAGCAACAAAACAGATCACTCTATAAATCTACATGACTAGAAGCTCAGCAGAATACCTGGGGGGTGTCCCCCACTGCATACAGCAGTATTCTCCTGTAGTCCAGAACAATGTACATTACAGGAGGGATAAGGGATACCACAAAGATGAGAGATGCTACTTCAGAATAGTCTAGTCGATACTGCTAGTGTACCTTAGTGTCAAAGCACCAGAAACGTGCAGCATACCATAATGGCACTAAGCACTATGGCTAACAACAACTACCTAGTACAACAACGGTATTGCATGCCTTGTGGTATCTCTTTGCTTAATTACTCCAGCTTGAAGCTTAGAGGGGGGAAAAGTGAAACTGCACTGTGTTGTTTTTTTTTTCTCTGTAGGTTTTATTTCTTTGGCTTGCAAAATGTCAGCATATGGGTCTAATGAGAAATTGCCACACCTCAAGGTCTGACCGCATTTAGTGTTTAGTCTTGCATATCTGAAAGCTCTGATGCTCCTGCTGCTGCAATTACTGGCTCAGAGGATTCACAGTAATAGCAAAGCTTGAATCCTCCACTGTAATGAACCAGTATAGGCTTCAGTTCTGCAACAGACCACCACCTTCATGTAAAACATTGCACAGATGGAGGGGTTTGTCCCAGTTGTGTTTGAACTTTCTGCAGTACTTCATCATTTAACTGTCATGAGAAAGCCACAACAGCAGCTTCCTGACCGTACCAGAAGTACGTACTGGTTACAGCCACCAGCCTGGCACTGTTAGAGGCAACCAAACATTCTTCAAGCCTGCACCTCCAGCCCCCCCAACTATGGCTGTTTTCCTAAGGAGAGAGTTTTTTAATGCAGGATACTGCAAAAATGTCCTTTACCAGCTAAAATGAATGAGTGATTTTTTTTTTAATTCAACATAAACAGCACCGAGCTCAAACATTCTTCTATAGCATTCTAACCCCTTATTACCTTACAGCTACACTGGGCTTAGTGAGGGGAATGGCATATTGACAGGCTAGTGCATAGGTATTTTTATAAATGAGCACAAATAAAGCAGACAGCAGAAATGGTGAAAAAATTAATGTAATTCTTCAGAATGTCTGCAGCACCACTAAACCAAAATGTGAATAGTAACACAAATAAAGGAATCTTGGATCCTGTTCTTCCTCCCATTGAAAATAAGCATCATTTTATGGTATAATAGATTTTAGCAAGCCCCACATGTTCAGAATTTTTCTTTTTCTCTTTTATTTTTACCTACATATGTTGTTTATCTGAATCCTGCCTAATTCACAGATGCAAATAAGTAAAACCATCTTGAAAAGATGGAGCAATAGAATGCCATTTAAATTTACAATCTCTTTGATTCAAAGAGTTGCAATGAGTGGGACTCTCACTGCTCCCAGCAATATCTTCTGAGACACACTGAGACCATTTTTGCCAGCAGAAAAAGACCTGCAGTTCCCACTGGTTTCAGCTCGACTCATGGATCAGTACATTCATGAACTGGGACTATTGCTTTTGACAAACTTGGAGTCTTGTCAACAGCTCCACATGAGAAGATTCAGGTCTTCTGGCACAAAATGACCAAAAGCCTATAGTGGCCATATCAGGGACTGGAATGAAATATATTTGTATTTATACCAAAGCTGTGCTTTTTTTTTCACATGTATATTTGGTGCTGTTGCTGAAAACAAGAAGAGGAGAGCTTACATTCCATATCTAAAGGGGAATGAAGATAAAATTTAACACTGCAAAACAAAAGGCTACAAAGCTATTTCTGTGACTTTAAATCACAAAGCTAGTGCAAACGTGTAAGAGCAAGACAACATTTTTCATGAGTTTTTCCAAGAAAGGCAAAAAGCACAACTACTTATTTCTGACAATTAAGCAGCATACACAGTTTTTGTTCTACTGACATTTAAAAACATAGTTTTCAATTATTTATACTGTAGTTCAACACCTAAAGCAGGGAAAAAAAAAGTATGAAGTCTGTGTTCTGCAGCACAAGTAACCCTTACTGAAAGGTTCGATCTATTTATAATAGTGTTTCCCTTAGGAACTACAGTTGGCAGGGTATACAGGATTGGATTCTGCCATATTCTGTAATGCAGTATCATCTATTAGCACTTTGACCAGCCAATAATGTTACATTACACTTATCATATACAGACATTACTGGAGATTTTTTCCTCCGCAGACGCTGACCTCATTTAAGGACAGTTGGGAAATCAGAAGGTCCAAGGCAGCTGAAGTGGGTTAAGAAGTTGCCATGTGAGTATGCTTTGGTCAGGAGTTCAACAACTTCATCCAATTCACCAAGGGAAAGGGGTGAAATTTAAGCCTCTGAACCCTACCTGAAGCAGCTGAGAGGACTCGCCCTTTCTGGACTATCAGCTCTGTTGCAGGGATAGTTGCTTTCAGCAGAGCAGCAAGATAATGCTATGGTTTCAAACTGTTGCAGTCATTTGCAAAGTGAACACACATCTGTGGTCTACGTGTCCCAGGTCCTTTTGGAAATATTACTGTGACTCCACTCATACACGTAAGTATGACTACAGGCAGCACTCGCACAGAAATTAAACTGAAATCAAGCACTATGGTGAAGGATAAAAAAGATTTGCCTAAACAATTGGAAAATTCTAGACCAAGATCCTTCTGTTTTTTGTAAAACGCTATACAACAGTGACTGTCTGAACAGAGGCAATGTTGACGTCCTCCACACACTGCTTTACGCACATGTTTTAACATTGTTCTGGAAGAGCCTTTTGTAAGAGATGGGCTGTGGATCTAGTTTCATTCCAGTTAGTTACCTAATCAATACAAATAAAACTAGGACTTAATGCAGAACTCCCAGGAGATCATAATAATCATCCACAATTACTTATGAAAGCCAATCAATGACCAAGAGACTTTATGTGTCATATACCTTAAATCAAACTTCTGAAATTAATCTTTGATTCCTAACACCATTAGAGGTTGCAACACTAAACAAAACAACGCACGATCAAGCACTGCCTCAAAGGCTGACTGCAAGGGCAACCAAGAATGGAGCCAGGAGGGCACAAGCAGCCCTAGAACATCACCACCACCCCCAGTAAGGGGAGGCACAACAATAGAGTTGAGATAATGGATACAGGAACAGACATAAAAACAGTGAAATAAGCACCTACAGCTATCTTTTCCTGCTGTTCCTTCAATGAAATAGGCTACCTTCCAGCAGTCAAATGAAAGACAAGTAGAAGGCAAGGTTCTCAGACCTGGATCTCAGATGTATGAGGTAAAGGAAAAAGAAAGAGAGAGGAAGAAACATTATTTCATGATTTCTACCTTGTTTCTCACTGTGGGAAGATCTGCAGAAACCGGAGGTTTATGATTTGTTGTCAAATTTATCTCATTATGATGAGTGATTAGCAAACTCAGGCTTCCTGTCAAAATGTCATGTGTTCCTCTGTAGCTTTGTTCTGGTATTACCATTATGTAGTTACTACTTTATTATTTTTTTTAGTATCTGCATAACATAGTCGAATAACTTTGCAGGCAGTGAGATCACAGTTCAAAAAAAGTTGGAAACAGGGACAAGAAGCTATTCATTGTGCTATTTTTTACTATTCTGAAGCCCATACCATGAGCAATGACTCATAAGAGTAGCATGCTGGAGAAGTGCTTGCAAACCATACAAGTTTGTTTATTCATTGATTCATTAAGTTCCTCAGTGCAAAATCTATGGGACTCAAGAGGAGTTCTTTTTCACCTATATCCTGTCCTGAGAACCAGAGGCTGGGCTAGCTGGATGAAGAGCCCTTACATGTCAATGGAGCACACTCCCTCTGGTGGCTTTGCTCCATCTCGTGTTCTCAGCCTCCTCAACAGGGTACAAAGAGAAATTAAAACAGGCAAATTTCTTGTTTCCTTGTTTTAAGTCATACATTAAAGTGTTGTTTTACTTTTAACCTGTAGTCCTCAGATGACATTAACTTTCTGGTGGTGAATTCTTTTGGAAAGGTTTGGCAAATTTCATCATAGCATGCAGTTACAAAAGCAAATTAGTTTTTCCATGTGATGTAGTGGCACTATGGACCCAGAATGCTATTTGAATAAATATGAATAATAAATAAGAATGATAATATCTGCTTCACCTGTGAAATTCATGTTATGACAGTAAAAGAAAGAAGTTTGTCTGCCACATTTTTCTTCAAGCAGGAGGTGAAGATGGGGTTGGTTTTCACTGCTTGCACTGGGTGTTTTTGCGTAGAGCAGAGCTGATGTGGGCACTGAGAGATTAGATAATAGCTCTATGATTCATACTTAAGAGTGAATAATACTGAAAGAATTTGGGAATATGCAGAAATATGGATAAGAGGAAACCACACAGAAGGCTCTCTCTGATCAGAGATCAGGCTCAAGAAGAAGGGACAGCTGACATGTAAATCTCAGTCTAGCTACTGATACCCAAAGGCACAGGCGAAAGGGAGGAGGTATTTGAAAAGCTTGGTTTTGCAAGAGAAAATTGCGCAATAAGGAGAGAGGAGTGTAAGAAATAATTAGACACTTAGAGAGGACAAACTATTTCACTTCTCCCCAAAACTGGCAGCTCTGCTTAAACATTACATATTCCCCATCACACATTTACGAGCATTAAAAAGCATACAAAGTACAAAAGTCTGGCACCACAGGCAGCAGGGAAAAACCATACACTTGCAATTAAAAATTCCTATATTTCCAATTGATTTTATGATAGGTAAAGTCAAGATGTGACATAAGACCAGTCTCCGGAAATACAGGATATCTGATACATATATGTTATATATAGTAATACTCACTATTGCTAATTAATTTCATCCTCCTTGCCTTAACTCTTGTCAAGTCCCTGATACAACTATGTAAGGCAGTTTCTTTTGTTCCAATCTTACTTTTTACCTTACCACATTGTTCCTAAGACACCACGTTATCTTTAAAACATGTACAAAATTGAAATCATGTCAGATGCTGTTACTGTCCTAGACCCAACATTTTAATACCATGCTATTAGTTCTATATTTATTATTAAAATGGTAGCAGTACCTCTTCCACAAAGTTAGTTTTCTTGTCAAGCATTTCTCGTAATGTCTGAAGAATTTTAATGCAGAGCTTTTCTTCTTTCTCCATTAGCTTCTTTGTGTGATTAATCAACCTTAAAGTAAAATATTAAACCTTAAAGAGCATTGCACATTGTTGCTAAGCTGTACTACAATATCTTTATGCAAAAGTTACCTGTCACTATATTTTTCATCAAGGAAAGGAAATAAAAGTAGACAAAAAAAATGGCAATTAAAAAGGAAATGGGACTTTCAAAGTGGGTGAGCTTTTCTGTGTCAATGTGCTTATCTTACTGCCCATACAGAAGGTAGAATTCTACATCCACTTTTTCTGAGTGCTTCCAGATTAAAATCCAAACATGCTAGTTCATCCTTTCTTTAAAGGTAACTTATTCTAACCTTTAAAAGTAACCAATATTCATCATGCATCTTGCAAACTTTAAAAGCTACAACCTTTACACCTTCCACTTCTATGATCATTATAGTATATTTATTATATAATTAGCAAATGGCATCCAGCCAAAAGGATCCCCCAAAACCTTACATGGATGCATTCAGAAATGCAGACATTTGGATGAAACAAATTGTATACATTTGCACAACAACTTCACAAGACTGTTTTAAGCCAGAAAACAAGGTACATTTCTGATTCAGACTACAACTGTGATGGGAGTTTGGGTTTTAGTCAGCTTAAGCCAATACCAGAAGCACCCTTTTTATCTCTGTACAGAGCAAGTCCTGGCACCAGTTCGCATACAGCTGGTGAAACTCTTGTGAAAACAAAAGAGGGAAGAAAATCTGGAGGCCCTGGACAGTTTTTTTTCCTTCGGTACCACTGCTGGCTTATGGTGGATAGCACAGTATTGATCAAATTACAGCCTAGGATCAGCATGCAGCAAAGGCACTGTGGTCACTGATCTACACTGAAAGACGGCATCATTAATGGCCCTAAATCATAGTCACCAAAACCAGGGTCAGGAGGGCTGACACTGCATCATCTAGACCAGTGCTCCATAACACAAGAGAACTGATTATATTTAGATCACTGCTAAGTTAGAATCATAGAATCATTTAGGTTGGAGAAGACCTTTCAGATAATTGAGTCTAACCATAAACCTAACACTGCCAAGTCCAACACTAAACCATGTCCCTAAGTGCCACATCTACATGTATTTTAAATACCCCCAGCAATTACTGTGCTAACGCCATCCTGGGCTCAGTGGAGAGACCATGCAGGCCTCTCCCACTGCCATCTCTACCAGTTTAATGAGCTATGAGTCTATAACAGTGCAGCTCTCAGGCCTGCAGTACTAACAGTATTTTTTAAAGAAATTATCTTTATCTCAGGATTTCTGGGTAGCTCTGCAAAGCATTCCTTTGCCATGGAGGTTAATTCAGTAAAACAGAAAACTGTTTATTGCATTACATGGGCCATGTCCAACAGTCCTAGACTTGATTTGATGCTCACTTTGAACAAGAGTTTGGACAGAGGGCATGGGATGGGGTAAGCTTAAAATTCAGCTTAATATTTCCAAACTTATAAAGTGTATTGTTACAATACTACCTCTGCAGAATACGTAAAAAGCCAGAGAAGGAGGAGAGCTGCCAAATGCATTCATTTCCCTTACGTTACTTCTGTTTAAATTGTATTTTTTCAAGGGTGGGGAGGGCATTTTACTCGAGGATTAATGAAAAATTGCAAGACTCTATTCTGATGTACAGACTGCAAATAAAACAATCTAATAATTCAAGACTAGGTAGGGGTGCCAGTTAAATTTATTTTTAAAAGAGCTGTTGGCAGTTTAAAATAAAAATCTAAATATTTATTTTCTGTACCAAAAAAAACCCAACCCAAACCCAACAAAACCCACAAGCCCAGAGCATCCCACCTCATTACGAATTACTGAAAATTATACCATGGAAAGTAAGTTTCTGTTGTAGATTTGGAGAAATTTAATAGCAAAAGTATCCCAGAAAGAAAACAGAAGTAGGTTGAGCCTCCCACAATTTTAACAAGCTACTAACATCCCATTTCTAGGCAGACAAGGCAAGCAATCTGCCTCTCAACTCCTCTCCAGAGCTCTAAACTGCCGAGAACAAAACAAAAAAATGCAGCAAAAGACCTCAGCTTAAGCTTTCAATATGAGCACAGATACCTACATGCTTGAGTCACTGCTGAAAATAAGAGTTAAGTGCTGTTGAAAATTTTAACCTTTCCTAAAGAAGCAAAGAGGCCTCTCCTTACACTACTTACTTGGACATGAAAGCACCACATCTTATTCTGGCATCACTCCCCTCTGGAAAAAGAAGTTCTGGACTGTACAGCACATCAACCAGCACTGAGAATTCAGCTTGCATCATGGGAGTGAACTGCTGCTCCAAGGAGGACACTACGTCCTAGAGAAAAAAGAAGAATGACATTCATAACATTCATAAGTACAAGAAAACTAGAACATCACGGCTGTGGAGCTGCATAATACTGTGTGGTAGGCTATTTGACCCTCTCCTCATAGCCAGCTGCAAGAGGCCTGTTAACCTGGGTGATAGTAAAGCAACGTCAAGCCCTTCTTCACACCACACTTCAAGCAGGGCAAGGAGAAGAAGGTACCCATTACTATCTACCTTGCTGTTTCTCTTCCAAATTTCTCCTCTGCAGTAATGCTCACAAAAGACTTGGCAACAGTCAAGTTTCCAACAGTGTGCTGGAAAAACACTGCTTCTCATGCATGGTATATCACCTGAGGTATAGCTCCCTTGACATTTAGGGCTCCTTCATCCGTCTGGGTTTTTGATGTTGTTTAACCATTACATGCACAAAGTGATCTTCATCTTAAAAGCAGTCTCCAGTGACACAAACCTGACATAACAGGTCCTAAAAATCTCCAATACCTCCTCTGCAACTAAAACAGGACATGCAACCATGAAAAGGCAGAAAGGATACTCTTCTCTGCAGACCACTTTAAGGAAAAAAACATACTTCCTGCCCCTCTCTACTGACTTCTGTAGGAGCTCAATTCAGAGCATGTTGGCTTCAGTTTTAACAGATACCAGAGAAGAGCTGAGCCTTCTGCTCACCCCACGTAGAAATGGTCACTGTAATCCAGCACTAAAAATGCATTGAGTCTCTCTCTGGTGTTTCACATACCTGGCATGTATTAGATAAATGCACTGCCACAACTACTGCCCAGGCAATTTGCTATTTTTGTACCTGTAGTTTTTCTATGATATTCCTGTAATCCCAGGCAGGACCACCAAGAGCTTCTTTAAAGCGAGGTCCACTGCGGGCTGACATTCTCCACCCCATGGCTGCCCTCTGCACCATGTTAGAGTGACTCTTCATGAACAAGGTGTTGACCTGGCTGTCCAAATCCACTGGAATTGCAATCCCACGGTTCTTCGCTTTAATAAGAAGAATAAGAAGAAAAAAAAAAAAAAAAAAAAAAAGGAATTTACAGTGGCAAAACCTTCAAAATAATATAAAGATCATGGCATGCAAAATACTGATACTCTTGAAGTTGAGGCAGGAGGATCCTGCTTCAACAGGTTGTAAAATAAGGATCAAACCCCTAAACTGGTAGAAATTGGCCATAATTTAGTTAAAGAAAGCAAGATGAACCACTTTAAATGAGAGGAGGATTATTCCTAGTACACATTTTCATAGGTATAGACATTTATTTTTTATTACAGAATAATTTTTTTACTAACTTAAAAAATAAGAAATAAATCAGATCCAGAGATACTAATAACAGTAACAAAAAGAGTATGCATTATTTCAACAGCTAGTTTTACTCTATTCAGAAGTAAATTCAAAAATCCTTCTTTCTAGTGGACTTATGCACATGTAGCCAATTTATCCCAAGCGCTTTTTGTTCTTTTCTGTGTATTTCTCTTGTGAAGACCTTGAGAAACCAAGTGCATACAAATTAAATTTGAAAAAGATTGTCTCCTCTCTCCCTTCAGTTTCCTGTACAGACAGTGTTGTTAAACCATGGTGTTCCTGGATGCCACTGCAATGTAATCGATAGTTCATAAACTTGTGATAGTTTAACTGGTAGAAAAATTTAACCAATAGTTTAAAAAAATGTGGTGGTTTTTTGGTTTTTTTTTTAAGTGTCAGGAAGTGACAGAGTATCAGAGAAAAAAAAACCCTGAGGAAAGACTTGCATAAATTCTTACAGGGCATCCCCTATTAAATTACTATTGCATCCTGAACTGTCATTTGAAAAGGAAGCTTGAAAAACAATGTTGGAAGGTATCTGCCCTCTCCTCCATTAAAATCTTTGTGTTAGCTGCATCTCTCCATTCCATTAGAGATCAGAGTGACTTTCTTCTGTGGCTCAGCATGAGTCATCTGAAATTCAACAGATAAACAAGAGGTCGATGCAGCAGTATCTCTGTGTGAAAGATTAGGCTACATTCCAGCAATTAAGCTTTGTATGCTACATCATCTCACTTAATTTCCATGGCACAGTTTATGTTTAAGAAAAACTTAGAAGCAAAATAGAGAAGAGGTTTTAGTTCATTTGTAATAATGACTAATAATAATATTTTTTTCAGTTTTCATTATTGAAACAAATTGAATTTTTAAAAAAAACTTAGCCCATATTACAGTTCTACACGTTTCTCTGAGGCATTTCCCTACCATTCTGCACTAACATGCACACTTTCCACAGTAATGAAGGCACCAAAAATATTTCAGCCCTCCCTCCCAGTTCTTAAAACATATACAACTGTAAGTCCTGAACTTCTGAAGTCAACAGATGCCCTTCTTTCTTAAACAGCCTATGCACCAGGAGTACATGCAAGCAGAGGCAGGCATACACCTCTAATGAATGAAGGCTTATGTGCTGCCAAGCACAGTGAGTCACAGATCTGAGGCAGAAACTCTCTCTTCCCCAAAATACTATGATGTAGTGGTAGCATTTATTATAAACCTAAATTTGGCTGTGACACCTCAATCCCCAGTCTCACAGACTACAGCAAGTGTGCTCTGGCACACGTGTCCTCATCCCTGTAATAGCTCCTGCAGGTGCAGGGCACCCTCCTCTCTTCCCCCTGCAAGACCATATCCTGATGCAGGACCAGGGCCTCCTCTTGCAGAGTAGGCTGTTCAACCAGGATGGAAGAGAGCTCTTATTCTATTTCTGGTAGGCACTTCCTGTTAAACAGTTTGCTATAGAGATTTTAAAAAGTTGTCATGTCAAGATGGGAGGACACATTTCCCCATAACCACATAAGAATCACCAGATGTACAGCAGTTTCCACACTGCAATTTACTTTTCCTTTCCACTCTCTATTTGTTTTGAAGGTAAAGTTCCTGATTATCATGAGTAAAATACCATGTATGGCTGGCCATTATTTCTAATGATTGTTTTCCTGTATAATTTGGCTGGGTTATTTTTCAAAACGCATTTGCCCTGTTGCTGATTACAGAAGTCCATTAAAGTTCTGCCAGTACGGGTAGGGTGCTGCAGCCTATAAATCCAATTTATTGTGTCCTAATGTCAATCACTGGAATGTTATTGGACAATTCTCACTTCTCAATTAAGTGGTATACATGCAGAATCCTGATATATCCAAGGATAAATTTAGCAATGGGGAGCATGCTGTTCAGAGGAAAACCCAGACTTCTGCAGCCCTGTAGATGCCATTTGAAGTTAACAACTTCCATCAGCATCTGAGGAGCAGTCAAGGACTACGATTGTTCAAAGAGTTGCAGCTAATTAAAACTATCACAAAGACAGACAGAAAGAGGGGAAAAAAAATTACTCCTTTGTTTTGAACAGTTCTTATATGTATAATTCCATTTGTAATTAAGATTTGTATTGGTTGTCAAAGGGCACTGTTGAAGTCTAAGCTATAAACAAAGCCTTTGTCTTCTTATTTCTTTCCAGCTTGTAGAAAGTTTATCTTTCATTTGTTTCACATTTCATTATTTAAAACAACATGAAACATATTTTTACATTTTGGAAAGCTGATGAACAAATGCGAACATAAATATTTATTTTTAATTTAGGTGTTCTCAGTTGCTTTCAACTTCAAAATGTGTCAATCTCCCTTAAAGTATGAACATAAAATATTTAAAAGTATGTTTATTTTTGTTCCACTTAGAAATACTTTTGGACAACACACAAACTTGCAAAGTAGTGTTAGAGTTGGTAGACAAAGGAGCCAGGAGGGGGTAAAATTCTGTCTTTCATCTGACTAGTGAAATTTGGAAAAAAACAAGCTACATGTCTTTTTTTACCATGTAAACTTGATACCTATTTACCATAGGTATCAAGCAGGAAAGTGCATCAGCATCTTTCCTCTCTTTTATTGTTTAAACCATGAAAATGCACTCTGAGATGGGGACTCAAAAGAAATTTGCAACATTAATGTTGAGAATCAAGTAGCTAAAAATCAAAGCAGTCTCTATGAGCGAGCTAGACTCCACTGAAGTCCCCAGAGCATAGTCCACCTGCTAACAGAAGGGCTGAAACAGGCTGAGATGTATTCTGTCGAATTACCTGCATGTGTCTCTAAGGTTTCTTCCAACCCAAACCATTTTAAGATTCTGTGATACTAAATTGATCCTAAGACTTAGGTCGGCAGTATGGTGGCAGTGATTCAGCAAGCATTCCTGAAATAGGCCCTTTTGCTTCCAATTTCTGTGCTTCTGTGAAGAGAACTACTGCTGATGCACTGGATACGCACACAACCATCCAGCACAGAGCAGAACATTTCACTGTGACCGGGCTGAATTTGCGGCACCGTTTTGCTTACCATTTCCATGGGTACCATTTGCTTGCTTCTCTTGGCTCAACTGTGGCTACTGCTGATGGCATCACTGGGAGCAGCAGATTGAGAGTTTATCAAGCAAAGGATTTCCCAGGAAATCACACTTCCTCTGACACTAGTAATACTAATATTCCTAACGCTAAGGCTTTCCAGGAAGTAGCTATCACCTGTGGTTTTTCTTTGAAGCTCATTCATCAGAGTAATCTATCTTCACATAAGGAAGCTCACCATTCTCCTTGATATTCCCACCCAGTGCTGCCTAATTTAAAATTTCTCTCCAATAGCTTCTGTAGGATATACAACATACAATGGTATTTAGCAGCTTCACAGCTATTTAGTACACTTTGCACTACCCTAAAACACTCCTGGTGCAGGTTTCTGGGGGACATACAGGCATTTCACTCCTGAGAGCACCTCAAGGAGGCATGCGACAGGCAGTGTGGGTCATGAAAAACCCACAGCTGTACCTGGCTGGGAAGCTTTTACTCTCCTTGTTGTTTACACCCCTCTGGTAGTTGCAGACAGCTATTTCATCTTCTCCCACGCTTCCCAGTTGCCATTTAACGGAGTGATGCATATTTAGTTCAATTAATTTTGTTCCATAAATCAGTCCCTCCAGCTCCTTAATCATTTACTGACTGCTTAACAAATGCATTTGGATGGAGAGACACTAATGCTAGCAACAGCAAGACTTTTCAAGGGAAATAAAAGCTTTGTGTAGACAGACACAAGCCTGCCAATCTTTTACCCTTCACTTGGATGTTTTTTCCCCAACAGAAAAATCTATGCTAAAATATTTATCAGTCTGTAAAAAGATCATCATTGAATTTTTCTTGCAATTAGGGAAACACAAACAGTTAAAATAGAATAAAATATGTGCTTCATCTGAAATGTATTCTTGCTGTCAAAAAAGTAACAACAGGATAATTATTTTATTTGAACTAAAAATTGAAAACGAAGGTCTAGCTTTTTATAAAATGGAAAAAAAGATTTTAAAACTCAAATTGGAAGTGAAATAAAGCATTTTCAGGACTGAAACAAATTGTTATAGCAAAGTTCATCTATATGGATATTAAAATATGCACAATAATTCCAAAGAACCAGTAAAATGTAACCTAGATTTTATGTTTAATGTTTCCTGTTTGTAATATGTTAGGGAAAATAATCGGGCTTTAGAGGACATAAAAGCATGGTCAGAAAGCACCACAGGAGAGTTTTTTGGGTTCTGTACAAAGGGGTATTGGTGAGCTGAAAGTGGGACATAAATACTCAACTAGAAAGGACTTCACTGCTCCTTCAGACCATCTGCTGTCTGCTACAGACAATCCAAGTTCTTTAATAGCTTTTGAAGAAAATGCATCGCATCCCATTTAAAGTGAAGCTAGCTTTTCTGCCGTCCCTCTTGCCTTCATTTGCTCTTGGCCTGTTGACCAATGACATTCTTCCAAAGTTGGTTCCAAACCTTGATTTACAATCTAAATTGACTTAGATTATTCGCAACCTAGCATAATTTATGTCGAGTTGTTCTTGCATCTCTGTCCCATAGTTTAAATGTCTCTTCTTTGTGACTATTTATCTTTCCAAAAACTTTTAAAGGGCAACAACACAGGCCTTTGTTTTGCTAGATGAAACACATGGGGCTTTGATCTCTTCTTGTAATACAGTTCTCCTTTCCCCGACCATCACAGTAGTACTTTGTACTTGTTCCAGTTTTGAACGTATGAAATAGCAGCCTTACAGGAATCGCCTCCAATTTTGTGGGACGGAAGCAAGGATTCTCCTTTTGCTTCTCCCACACAGCATCCTAGAGTATAATCTGATAATGACTTACGTAATTTGGATTCCTAACTGATTTTTTTAAAGGGTCTGCCAAGAGAAATAGTCTAACAAAATGCAGATTCCTATCTGCCACTGTTTACTTATCTGGGAAATTCCAATTATTTCGTTATTGGTGGCAACAGCACAGCCATACACATACTACATCCTTGGGATGCACACAGAGTACCAGAAGGAAGATGCAATTTGCAAATACATAAGGGTAAAAGCTAATGGATACTACAGAAACAAGAGTATAATACAATGAAATTCACCCTTGTGACAGAAAACTGATGCTTGGGGGTGGAGATACAAGAATCACCTCTTAATTAAGAAGCAAAGATAGTTCTTTGCATGGTCCTGAAGGACTGATCAGTCCTGGAAGAAAGACAGTGCTCCGATACAACTGAAGATAACAATCCAGATCTTTAGTTGTGAGGACAGGTGATACTCCCCAATTTTACCATATGTAAAGACAATACATGGTTTAGGGTTTAAAATGCAAACTTTGAGACTGGCCTCCCCCCTTCTCAATCTTAGAAAGACTATAAAATGTGGGAATTGAAAATCCTTTGATGAGTTAATTTGAAATAAATGGAACTGTTAGGTGTCTTAGTTCCTCTGCTTTCACAAAAAATCAGACAACCTTTTAAACGTTTTTAATGTGTAGCTATTTTACCAGTGAGATGGAAGCTGTTTGGATCATTCATTTTTTGGACTATCTTTTCAAGCAAAAGCTCAGTCCTATGTAATAATAGATAAAAAGCAAAAGTGACATACACATAATGTGTTCATTTTCATTACTGTGATAATCTGCTTCAGAAATCCATATGAACAAGACACATTAATATACATATATTATTTCATAAGTGTTTCTATGCATGCCAGGTAGCCAAACGTTTACTGGGCAATAAAAACTTGATGCACGTTGGTATCTGTGTGTTCCAAATCTCTTGGAGCCACAGAGGAGTCTGCTGGAGAGAAGCAAGCCTCTATGCTTCTTGCTGAACTGGAGGCAGACAACTGCCTGGAGACAAAGCAGCAAGTGAAGCTTGAAAAGCTTATGCAGTTTTTCCCTAGTGGTCAAGCAGAGTTGAAGTACCAGGGTTATAAGAAATTAGCTTCTGTAACATATCTTTTTGTTGACCTGGAAGATAATGCACATTCTTACATTGCTCAAAAGACGACAGATGCAATGATCTTACACTCTTGAGGAAATACTTACATCCACCTGCCAGCAACAAACTAATAAGTACCGAGCAGAATATGTGTTGCTTAAATTTGCTCTGAAATGGGTCTTTTAAAAGTATATTATTATAGGGATCTTTGATATCTGGGGAAATCTCTGTAAGATCTTTGTTCTTCCTGAAATTCATTTCTAAATCCAGGGCTACAATACACACACACACACACCAATCATGTTTGTTCTTTTAACTCTATACTACATTTATTTTCCATCAAAAGTCTTTGGTTCCTGCTGTAAATCTGTCTGTTACTCTATCTCTCTGATACAGGCAAAATCTTTCTAGAGGTTTGTTTTAAACCCCGCTGTGAAACATGAAGGCCCTAACATTAAAGCTATCAGACTCTCAAGTGGAAAAAAAATAAAACCAAAACAGGCAGAAGGGTGCTTACAGATGCCTAGCCAAGATCTAAACCTAGTCCACACAAACAGCCAGCAAAAGATGCAAAAAAAGGCTGCCCTGTTTGTATTATGGAAGAAATCTCTGGCTTCTTGACGAGAAACACCCTAAAGAGGAAGGCACTGGGCATGCTCTGTAACCACAAAAGGGCCTTGATTTTAAAAGCCTCTGGTATCCCCAGGCTGGGGCAGGTTTTCCAAAGCTTTGAGCAGAGCAGAGCAGGCCTACTCAATTAGCCCAGGGAAGACACATTTGGCACCATGCCTGAAAATACTGAGAGTCACTGGTGGTTAACATTTCCACTAACCAGCCAAACCTCTGCACAGGGGTGTGTGTTAAAAACTCTGCTTCCACGTTGTCTTCAGCTGACTTGCTCTTTGAAGAAATCCCCCTCAGCTCTTCCCTTATGTTTCCTTTCTGCACTGCCAAGATAAAGCACTGAGTAAAACTGCAAACCAGTTTGCTAACACAACACAATACAATTTCACCATGCTTGATACTGATATCAGTGATGAATCCTTAAACAGTTACTATGATATGGACAAGGACATCAGCAATGTACATGCTAGCATGTGCCAGCCCATGGCATCCCCAGGTGATGCTAAGCTACCCTGCCCTGCTGCCACTGCAGGCAAGTCCCAGAGGAGGACTCAGGGTGATGCCCTTCACTGGCAGCTCAGCTCCACTCTGCCATGCCTCAGAATGCCCAAGTCATGGCTGGGGTCTCATAGGTAGGAAGCCACAGTAGCAAGAAGGCTGGGCCCATAGGACAGCACAAAAGCATACTTATAAAAACAAAAATCCCACCAACTGTAAACCATCTCCCTAAAAGAGAAAAAGGAATGAAAGAAAAGGCTAAAGAGGAGGTAGAAATTAAATTCACCAAGTAGGGAACAAAGTCACATACCTGAAGAAAATTCCAGACATCAGCTATGCCTTGCATTGGGGTTTTCCCCTGGAGTCCCTCAGGAATAAGAGGCACACAGAAGACTCCTGCCAAAGACCACCAGCCCTTTCACATGCTGGTGCACCTGGCCAAGAAACTGGATCTGCCAGCCCCTTTAAAGTGACTCCTGCTTTCCACATGAGGCTGCTGTGGGAAAAAGTTCAGCTTGGCTCTCTCAGCACTACGCTCAGTTGTCTCCAAATACCCCCATCTCAGTGAGTTAACATAGTAACCTCTCTGAGCTAGCATTTGATTTTAGGTGTAGCTCTACAGAAATGGAAGACTCCAAACTGTCTAAAAGCAGAAACAGGGCATGCTCAGTCTCCAAAATACTCTCATTTGCCCTACTTCTTCCCACTTTCCCCAAACTCCCAAAGAAAATAATTTATTGATGACTCTTTCTAGAACTGCCAGAGAAGAGCAAAAGTGTTAAAGGTACAAACAAGGATTTGTAGGGATAGAGCTTTATTTGAGACTGTAGTAGCTGTAACATAAAAGAAATAAGACGTTTTCAACTTCCAAAGTTCTCTGGCTAGATGGATCCATAATTAAATCATTTGCACAACAAACAAAACAATTGAAGGTTGCTAAGTTTTTAGGTAACCACTTATTCTCATTCACTCAAGAAGTTAATGACATATTTCGGCTAAACTATTAAATGATACTCCTGTAAAGCTATTCCAAAATCTAAATTTTTGGTGACTGTTACAATGCCATGGATGCTGCAGGTAATTAAAGGACCCTCTCATATTGTTCTATTATTATTTATTAAAACTTCTTAAAACTTTTTAAAAATTGCAACTGCATCAACAATAGAATTTAGCCAGTTTCTGTATGTCTCTGCCTCCACTCAGTTTTCATTCACATTGAGCAGAACCTTATTCTACAAGTAATCAGAATCACTTACGTTTAGGAACTATATTAAATACTACTTTTTTCTGTCATGGCAGAAGACTTTAAAATTGCATTTACAGAAACTTCATTTAAGAATGAACTTTGGTCAGTCTTAGCTGTGTACTGGTAAAGAATCTTTTTTATTTTAGGATAAGAAGTTTTAAATCTTCCACTTGATATTCCACTTTAAATCTTCTAACATGATATTTGAATTTATTTGGAAGCATGTAACTTATAAGCTGCCCTGAGGACCATACCTAGTCCTGGTGCCAGTGCAAGGCAATACTCCCCTGACAAGACTGCCTGTGTAACAGCAGTAAATGCATGGACCTGATGGTGAAGAGAAGTGGAGAAGCTACAGAGTGGCATAGTTGTGGTCGTTTCCATCCCCAACTCCCTGATAGGACAAAACCTGAACAAGCCCAGGTCTGTGACTGACAATACTGAATGCATCTCCCAGGAACCAAGGGGAAAATGATGGGTATTCTCCAATGCATGATTGCTATGCATCACTGCTTACAATACCTTGTGCAAGTGTAGCGCAGCATGACTAGAAATGCCCAGGTTTTTTCAAGGCTTACACTGTGGGCTAATATCGTAACTTGCTAGAGGTTAAGTTTAACCATCGCTCACTTACCGAACTCATCTCTCTGATGTACAGGTTTCACTTTACAACCCTATTTGATGGGAAAGATTTGAAAGTGTTATAAAAGAAGAAAGAATTAAGCCTCAGAAAGTAGGATTTTTGAAATCACTGCTGTCACAATTTTGGTCAAATTAAAACCTGTTCAACCTCAAGTAAATCTGATCTTAAACCACAGAGAACGATAATGAAAGTAAAACCTGGCACCTACCCACTTCAGCCAAAGTCTTGATACATGACTCCACTGAGGCTTTCTGCGTTGGGTTTGGCCAGGTACAATTGTAAATTCTAAAAGCAGACTGCAGCAGCTGAATAAAAACAGGCTGGTGTGTCTGAAAACAAGAAGGTAAACATGGAGTTTTACCCTTTAGAATCTACTTACAACTGCCCTTGGGTTTGATGCAACGTAAACCACATGCAAGGTGATTTTAGCTTGTAGACTCAAGTTACAATTCCATGAAATTCTCTTTGCTCTTTAGGACTGAAGGGAACAGAAATCAATGCTGCACCTCTAAGAAGGCCAAATCATGCAATTTTTCCTGGAATTGCCACTGATACCAAGCAAACACAGTACAGAGCAGAAGGACGGAGGAGTCTTCCCAGTTCTCAGGTACGTGTCCCTTTTGTCATAGGACATAACATTTTTGTTGTACAAAGACAGACCATTATTCTGCAAGGATACCCCCCCCCTCCAGTGAATTCACAAGAGCCAGGAGTAAATCTGACCATATTGAACTGTCCAGTGGTTGAGAACTGCAAGTGAAAAAAATAGAGTAAGCATTTTAAAGAGGAATTAAGTTGCTGGAGAAATTAAAGGAGGATGTAAAGATACAGCATTCCTATGTGGATAGCAGACCACATCACCTTAACAGTCTGAATTAGATCTTTATTTGTGTCTCTTTTCCTTACCTGGAGGCTGGTGCTGTTATCTGAAAATGGCGAATTGAAGAAGCCACTCACAATGTTCATTACAGGCTCAGTGACATATTTCTCTAGAGATATGTCTGCATGTTTACGATCTGTGGTTGTGTTACAAACCTACAGGGAAGAAGGAGGAAACAATGAGATTTAGTTCTTTTAAATAAGCAAGCTTTATTATTTTATAATTTTTACAACATGTAATATTTTTTCTTAATATGAAGCAAAATGATTTTTATACAAAAATCTATCAGAGAGAACCATCTTAGAGCTCAAGCCGTATTTGTGACAGGTTACCTTTCTTCTTAGAGGTCCACATTGTCTTTCGACTACCCTTCTCTTCCAAACTAGTTCTTTCTGGTTGGCTGTCTATTCTCTCCCACACCATGAAAAAAGATCCCCCTAAATCAGCACACTGCATGCCAGTTACACATTTAGACAGATTTGAGAAGAAAATGGGCTTTTCCTCCCATTGTGGGCTGGTTGGAAAAGGCCTTAGAGACATAAGAGGCATAAACATCTTAAGTTAGAAAGATTTCATGTAACGTTTAACTTCTCTCCACAAATTAATCACCACAAATGGGTGGCAAAGGTGAAGCTCATTTGCAGAACAAATGTTAAAAAAAGAGGGAAATAAAGGAAATAGCATAGTCAATACTAACAGCCTTTAGAATTGTAAACTGTAGGACAAGCAGCTTTAGTTAGGAAAGCCACATGTGGAAAATACAAAAGAAACTAAAAACAATGAAAGAAGAAAATGGATGGTACTGGGACAACTCTGGACCACAGAACGATGGTTAAATGGTGGGAGGATATGGGAAGATTTGTACAAAGATTCCTGAAGACACCCTTTGGTACTACACTAAAAGTTTGCTGCTGCATAAGGATGTCATGCTTAAAGAAAGGAAAAACATACTGGGATGGATAGCATCCTTCAATGTTTCTTTTACTCTTTTTAACACTTGTGGACATCTATATAGAGTCGTATTGACTTTGCAGTCAGGTTAAACAGCACTAAAAGGGGTCTACAGAGAGCCAAACATGGTGAGAAAGGCAAGACTGAACAAATAAGAAATACTATGGTCATACTACCTCTACTACCTCTTCAACAGCCTTTAAACAAGCAATCGTAGTCGTGTTTAACAAGAAATGAAAAGCAAAGCTGATCTCCCACCTATGCAAACCACAGACTACTGTAATGTTCTAGGGAATCTATGCAAAAGCAGAATTTATTTTGTATAAAGACTTCTGGGGTAGCCTTCTCATTATGTTTAACACACAAATATATTTGGTAAATACTTAGCAGTATGTCAATTTATGGATGGGGAACTGAAGTCCAGAAAAGTTGAGTAAATTGCTTAAGGTCACAGAGAGAAGCTGGTAAAAGAAGCAGAAAGATAAACCACAGCATCTGAATCTCACACAGGGAAAACATGCTCTCTAATTACACACCGCCACTGTCACACTTGGACACTACAAGACGGCAATTTCACCAGAAGTGTTTTAAGGAAGGTTACTGACATGACATCCAAAAGCAACCATGTTCAGGAGAAGATACAGGAACACAAAAGCATTTTGAGTGTAACACACAGGCATTGTCAGATGGTAGGCAGAGGAATAACCAAAGATAACTTGAGATCTACAGAAATGAGGCATCTTGAGGCACTTTGCTTGTCTGCTTTTCTAAAATGTGTCAGATAAACAAGTCATGCCCCCACGTAGTGCATTTTTTATCACCCCAGGAAAGGAAAGATTTTGGTCAGAGAAGCAACAGTGGCTAAACTGAAATAACAAACTCTTCAGCCCTTCAGTTTTGTGAAAAGTGTGACACCAGCACTCCCAGTGCTCATGGAGGTAACAGATTGAGTTAATAATCAAGACTATAAAAAAAAAAATTAAAAAAATCATAGAACTAAAAAACTCTTGAAATTCTTCTGCTTTCAATTAATCTACATGCCGATTCTGGCTGGAACCAGTAGCTCTGAGGCTTGGCACTTGTGATCCCAGTGGGAAGACAGAGACCTATGCAGTGCTAGCACGGTGAATTTAGAAATCGCCAAAACTAAATTCCAAAACACTTTTAAGCTTTCCCCTTTGCTTGCCTAAAAAGCAGAGCCATATGTGGGGATGCCACACTGTTCCAGCATCGGTCTGAAAAATTCCCAGCACAGAAGGAATTCGGAAATCCTCTCATTTGTTCTTATCCCTCTGCCCTTTGGGGACTGAAAGATGTTTCCCTGTGGAAGAAAAAACCTGAAATGCATGAAATGGAGATGAGGATTGAGAAAGCAGTGTTAAAAAAACCCTTAAGAGGCTTTGGGACTGAAACTCACATGAATAATACTTCAAAAATTCTGCAGAGAAAGCCAGGATGACTTTACAGCTGTCAGATCCTGGTTCTTGCTTTAATCCTGCTCAGACTACAGCTGCTGATTTACAGACTGGGCCACACACAGGAAAGGGAAGCCTTTCCTTCAGCAGCACCCACTTTGCTTAGTGCAACGCTTTAAGTCGTACACGGGAGAAAGTAGGTTGGCAGAAGCTGTAGAAAGAGGGTGTCTTTGAAAGCGCGACTGCTTTTGGCAAACTGAATTTATACATGAATCTGCCTCATGCCTGCTTTGCAATGTATCACATTGTTGAAAAAGCATGACAGTTGGGGACTAAATATTTCCTTCCTCAATCCAGAAAGAGATTTAAAAAAAAAATTGTTACTTTTTTTTTTTAAATAAAAAAAGGAAGGTATCCAACCTGAGGATAACATTCTCCGTCTTTCTCCTTAGTGCTCTCTAATAACAATCTCAAAGCTCACAAACTCACCCACTGACAGGCATCTGTAGCAGCTAAAAGAAAAGCATTTCCCCCTTCCCCCATGCAAAAGCATCCCTTTTAGCACAGTGGAACACAGAGGATCAAAGGGCTCTTTTTCTAAATGCTTTGAAAGCTATTGTAACATTTTTCATGAGGCTGACAGCATTCTAACTGTCCTGATAGCTACATAACGCTGATGTATTTATAACACTCAGGCTCTGCTTGGGCCCCAGAAAACCAAACCTGAACAAATATACTCAATAACCTGGAAGATATGGCTACCCACAGGGACCTGGCTGAAGAGCATGACAGGCCAGAGCACTTCTGACATGCTCTTATAGTTCCTTCAGCCATTAACCAAGAAATTAGGAGGACTAATTAGGCATCTTCCCTCAGGGCTTTGCAGGAGAGCAAAATAAACCTTCATTTTGCAATTCAGTGCCAACAACACATGCACACAAAACCCAGCATTAATAATACACTTGCTCTTCACCTCTGAAGACCTGGAGTCTAATTTCTCTTATAAGAAGGGTATATGAAAACAAGCTTAGTGGTCACTAGCATCAGGGCAACTACATCGTTTAGGCACAGTGCAGTTTGCCTTCAGGCACATGAAAGGAACTGTGAACAGAGCTCTCTTTCTACATGTCTTCTTCTAGCCCAAGGGCAAATAAAATTGGTCACATTCAAGGGCTTAAGGAGAGTAGTCTGTTTGGAGGGTCAGGGCCAGGACACATCAGGGAAGGGCAACCCAGAAAGGGAATTAAACAGGAGAAAGTACTTCTTAGGCTAAAACCAGCAAGGTCAAAAAGCAGAATCCCTCTTCAAAGAGATTTCTGATCTTAATTTTCAAACAAGCTTGGTTTGTCCAGGTCTTTCATTGTAGAACACAACCACAGAGATAAGACAAACAGCAGGAAAACAGGGTTTGTAGAGGTCTCATTATTACTGAAAATGGCTGCCACCAAAAAAATGAGATCACAGACATTCCTGTCTTACCCCAACCATTTATAAGATTTCTGTTTCATAGAGAATGAACAGGTCCCAGTGCCTATCATAGAGCATAAGGTTTTGCACTGATTCCTTTTTTGCCCATAATGCATGGTATTTTCTCCTAGTCTGTTTCAAAGAAATTATTTTGTGGCATGCTATTTCTTTGGGCTAAATGTCCACTGCAGGACTGAATTGACATTCTTTTACCTTTTTTTCTTTATTTTAACAAAACAAAGAACACAAGGAGTGAGAATTTAAAGATTATAAAATGTGACGGACCATGGACTGGGAAAACATAGACATATACTATGACAACATGCTCTATAACATCTCCAAAATACTGTCTAGCATCAAGGATCAAATACAGTCTACCAGTCACCAAAAACCTGTGGTTCTACTTCTTGAGCAGAAAGAGCAACTCCATTAATTGGCATTAATATTAGGTTCTTACAAGAAGCATTAACCTCCTATAAAAGGATATGAAATGTAAGCTGTAATCATTATGTCACACTAGCTTCCCTTCATGGCTCTACTATTTTATTTTATCCTTCTGGAAGTCATAAAATTTCCCTTGCTTTCTGCCTCCAGAATTTCAGGGAATGGAAGCTTAACTCAGCTTCTGACTTGAAACTTGATTCAAGAAGTAATGACACCATGAAGCTCACTATGGCCCACAGGAATTGAATGCCTACAATACCAAGTGTGCCCCATCACCTTGCAGCCTATAGTTTATACACAAATTAGCATTCTGAAAGACCACAGCTCTACATCTGCCTTTCTCATCAGCGGTGAGAATGTGTTGATAGTAGAATAAAAGGCAAAAACAGGCCAAAGATTAAAGAAGGAACATTAGCCAAAGAACTTCTCGATCCCTGATCCTCACTGTACTAACAGAGTAAAGAAAGATTACAGATATAAGGGGTTTATTTTATGTTACTGCCATAATGACTTGTGACACATGCTCCCAGAAGACATACACAGACTCAACCCTGTACGTGCAACCATTTTATTTTTCTGGAAGAGAAAAGAACGTGTATTCCAAGATGCCCTTTTAGAAACAGAAAACTGCTAGTAATTTGCAGATTAAATGGCGATAAATAACATTGAAATGACCGTTTGTTAAAAAAAACCCACAACCACCAAACAAGAAAACCCACAAAAATAAACCACCCACACCTATTCTACTGTCAACTTTGAAAAAAAGAAGTTCACAAAAAAAAGTTATTGCCAGTTCAGTTGACACCCATGACTGTACCGTAATATTTAACATCTCATGAAGCTTACCCTTGCCATATCAACAAGGAAGTTCTCAAATAATTTCCAAATATGGTTACTGGCATAGATTTCTTTCATTTCCACTTCAGTGTCCACATAACAGTGGTTAACAAAATTAACATAGGCAATTTTCACCTACAGGAAGAGCAAAAACACAAACAATACGAAATTGAATGGTAAAAACTGTTAACATGACGTTTTCTATCTGCAAAAATACTGAGCAATAAAGGTAATCCTTCAAGTACTAACAAATACTAATATCAGTAATAATATGTATGTTCAGTTCTAAAGATATAAGAAGCAGAGCAGCAAACACGTTAGTGTACATACTGAAAGATCACATGAAGAAAAATGGAAAGGTTTTGCGAACATTCTTACTGTAACAAAAACCTTCCCTCCCCCCCCCAAACAAACCCATAATAAATCTGACATTTAAATCATATTAAGACTGCAAGGGCCCGGCTCCAAAGCCAGGAGCTGTCAAAATGCAGGACACCCCTGCATTTGCTGATTGATTGCTGTGGGTTGATGCCTTGTGACAGGCTTGACAAATATATATAAAAAAATGTCGTTAGCATTAGAGCTACAATCCCTATATTCCCACATTCCTAACACAGTGCTTGTATTCAAGATGGGCGTAACTCAGATCTAAATGGAAGAGAAAGGCTATGCAGTGCTGGGACTGAAGCAACAACAGCACAAGACTTAGCAGAGGACTGCAGTCTCACTCCTCTCCTGCATTACAAATCTGCATGTGCACATCATAAAAATGAATATCCAGCACCTGGAATGTATGAATTAAATATGCACATACACAGATACGCTGAAAATTTCATGTCACTGTCAAAGGAAAGGAGATAGTTGCATGGGTTTAATGCAGTCAGGAGAAAACCCATGTCAGGCTTTTAGGTTAAATTTGTTTGAGCTTTTATTAATTAGCATCTGCTGAAAGTAATGTTAGAAGGAACTTCTGAGCAAAGCAAGCATTTTTCTCTTTAAGAAAAGAATCAGTTAATCACAATGGGACTTTTTCATGGAGTCTTTACTCCTGCAGGCCACAGTTCTGTTAATATGAGCCACATTTTTCCACCAGATAGCCTACAGAAATCTGTCTGACTGATACACAGGGTCTGAGCAAGCCCCTTCCAAAGACTCTGAAAAGATTTCTGTTGATTACATCAGGTTTCGTGCAAACACCCCACTTCTGATGAGCATGAGATACCACATTCCTACTGAGGATGACCGGTAGCAGCTGCAGAATTGGGCCTCAATATACTGTGAATAAAAACATTTGCTGGACTGCAACTGAACTTAATAAAATGAGGCTTCACCTAAAACTCCCACTGACTTCAGCATGGCCAGAGTTTACCCGTCATTTCCAACAAATTCAGGCAGTAGCAAAACATTGGTTTGACAAACCACTCAGCTGAGTCTTCGTGGCTACAGCCAGAAGTTACCAGTGGCTGAACAAACCGAGGACAACAAAAGAAGATGTCTGCCCCAAAAAGCTGACAATCAAAGCATAAGGGACAAGGAGTTTTCTGTTTAAGAAAATACTGGCTATGCTTCCTCATTTATTCACCTTAACGAACACCACCTGTTCCCAGCCTGTTTCCTTTGCAAATATTCAACCTGTCAGTATATTATAAACAACAAAATATTTTCTGAGTTTATAAAACTGATAAGTTTGCTTCCTCATTCAATTAATCTTACCTCAGGTATGCAGTCATCATGGGTCACTACTCTCACTATATCATCCAGTGGCAGGAGTGAATTGCACTTGATCTCTGTGTAAACATTCTTTCCTTCCGTACAAGCTGCTAGCAATTCCACTAGAGTGATGTGATATGCTAAGGGTCCACTCTCGTCTGCTCGATCTCGCTCTGAACACATCATTTGGAGTAGGACTGGAAATGATGCTCTGTCATTGTAGAATATCAACACATCTTCACCACCATTTATCAGCTGAAAAAAGATAATCACAAACTTTTAAGCACCCTGCACTTGCAGTCATTTTGGACTCAGACATCTTAAAGGTCTTTTCCAACCTTAATCATTCTCTGATTTCTTGATTTCTTATTTTGTTCTACTTTTAAGTATGCAAAAGACTATCTAGCTACAACAAAAATAACCCAATATTACTATGATGTGGCTTACCAAATGCACATGTCAAAACAATATCCAAAGCAAACTTTTCTTATCTACATAACTGCAAATCTGGAATAACTCACTAAGGAATGAGCTAATGCAAGGTGAATTTGAAGTTTAATTTCTATGCAGCTCCGTGTTTACCTAAGATACTATGCCATCCTTATTATTCCTACTATCTCACCATTTGTTTGAAGGTAATTAATTACTCTCACCTCCTGTTGTGAGGCCGGGATGCATTATTATCACTGTTCTATAGATAGGGACTTGAGGTGCAGAGAGATTAAATGTTCTGTGTTACCTCACACAAAAAGCCTGTGGCTCACGCAGAATTTAACCAGCCTTTTCTGTGCCCTTGCTCGGCATGGGAAACAAAGGATGATTCTTCCCAACCTATGCAAATTTGGCAGATGGGTTCTGACATTGTCAGTGTCATGCCAGCACTTCCATTTAACAGAAAACTGGTGTATGTGATAAATATTTGATTTTGCTACAAGTGCCTTGCTGATCTCAAGAGGATCCAGAGTGGAGGTGGATGCTGGCAGCCCATCTCAGCAGGCCTCACAGAGAAGTTCTGCTCTAACCCTGTTCTGAACCGCCCATACACTGAATATACCTACTGCCAGTGCTGCTCTGTGAGCTGGAGTGGAGCTGGGACAGGAAAGTAGCCCTGTCTTCTCTCCACCACTTTCCTTTTCAGCATAATGCACTCTCAATGTGGGCAAAAATAAGCTCCCATAAACCCTTCCTAGTAAAGAATACACTTTGGCAGCACAACCAGCCATACGTATTTTGTGAGTAAGGCACTTGACATATCCAAGTCTATACGTGACATGAAATCCTAGCCTACTGAATTCAAGGGTAGAAATAAAGGCTGGTGGAAATGGGAAAGCATCAAGAGCAGGAAT